CAATGAAAATGACATGAATATGACAGTGGGCAAATGCATAAAGTGCAGCATAATTTGAAATCACTAGTTTAAAGTTCGTCGATCATGCGTTTCCAGTCAAGCAGAACTCTCCTCCTGTCCGGATTCAATTCGCACGGACAAGAATCGACTAAGTCTGCAAGGTTTGTGAAATTAAATGTTCATTAGTAGGGAGAATGTGAGCGGTGTGTGCTCAGGCGCCGCCGTTCTCAGCGCCGTCAAAATAAAGGTCCCACCTCGAACACATCGGCCAAACAGAAAAACTTATCGGCCGATGCAGATATTTGAAAAATTCCAAATATCGGCCGATATATATCGGCCTTGGCGATATATCAGTCGACCACTAATCACAGGAGAAGTATTTTCACTTACAACCACAGATGCTCGAGTTAAACCTGTGGTATTTCTTTAAATCTGTAATTTAGGCAGATGCATTTGATCAAAGTGTGGGAAAATGGTGCTATGGAGCTAGATGTTAGACAATACCTCAGAAGAGATCCCAGACTCCTCTAGTACTTCCACTCTGGTTTTATCATAGTTCTGTGTTGTATTTATTTACACAACAAGTACGATCACACATGATCGCAGCTGAGCCTGGGTGGGTGTTCGTAGGCATAGCTGCCTGATCTCGGGTCAGAGTCCGGTGTTCTGCCAGATTATGCATCCCCTAGTATTGGTAGGTTTAGGAGTAGGTGTGGGGGAGGGGTTGGGATTAGGCAATTAGTTAGCGGGGTGCATAATCTGGCAGGGGTGCAGAATTTGGCACAACACCGGCTCCGCAAGTCTCCATGAGCGCATCTGGCAGTATGGATGCGGCTTGACGCACGCGCGCCACCTGTGTCGACTCGCGCCTGGCTCTATGTGATAGTTTCTATTGTTTTTTTTTCAGCAGGGTAATGATACTCATACTGTGCTGCACATTATTGACAATATTGAGCTGAAGCTTGACTTTGCAAATTTAAAATCGCAAATCAAATCGCAAATCAAATCGCAATCGCAATATCTGTCAAAAAAAAGCGCAATTTGATATTTTTCCCCAAATCGCACAGCCCTACTAACGATACAGGAGAGAACCAATCAGCTGTGCCATGTGATAATGATGTCATTAGGTCAGATTGAGTTAGACCTATCGGACTGCGCCATCTAGAGTTTCATGCCAGAACTCTGTATGAATTCACAATTATTCAGTTTTGTTGAGTGTGGACAGAACGAGTAAACATGTTGATGGAAACAATAGTGACCAGTGGGATAATAACTTTTTTTTTGTATCTTAGTATACATATTCAGTGTTGTATAAGGGTTTTTATGTATAATAGTAACAATAGAATGTTCATCGCATCAATTTCACCATTGCTACAGACTTGTACAAACATTCTTTGCACTTACACACATGAACTCTTTACTGATTCAGACCGAACTGAACTGAGAACTTGAATTAGGCAATTGAACTGGGTTTGGTGTCAAAACTGAATCATCTGTTGAATCACAAGAGTCATTTCAGAGTTCATTTGAACTGAGTCAAGAGTCATTTCTGAGTTCATTTGAACTGAGTCAAGAGTCATTTCAGAGTTCATTTGAACTGAGTCAAGAGTCATTTCTGAGTTTATATGAAGTGAATAATTTGAATTCAAGAGTCATTTTTATGGTGTCTTTTTTTTCCAGTGTCTTTTGGAAATCAATTTGTGTGTTTTGATATTGAAATGAATTCTGGGAAACTTGTGTATGAAGTGTTAAACAGAAGTGCTTGTCAAAGTTGTGGAGAACTTTTCATCAACTATTTGTTTTATTTCATTCGTTCATTTAAACAGAGCCAATTCTTTCAAAGAAGTCTAGTTTCCTAAAAATAGAAAAGGAATAAACTATTAACTGTTAACGGGTCATACAGTCTACATTTATTTGTGCAAGTTACCGTCTCACTCACACTATTGGGTTTAGGAGAGTGGGAATAGTATCTATTTGTTTTCTTTTTATTTATTATACAATTATAATTCTGACTTTCTGACTTCTGATTAACAAAAGCAAAAAAAGGCCTCTAACACTAGCTTGCTCTATTCTTTTTCTATCGGTTTTCTTTTGATTTATTATATAATAAAAAAAAAACTTGCTATATGTACTGTGTTAAGCTAACTGAGACTTGTTATAGCACTTGTGTTTCATTGCTCTTTTGTTTTGATTGCTATGTCCTCATTTGTAAGTCGCTTTCGATAAAAGCATCTGCTAAAAGACAATGTAAATATACATAAGCGTTATTATTATTACATGTCATTATTATTATTATTTAATACGATTCATATTATTACTGTTTTAAAACTTATATAACTGAATAAAAAAACTGAAACTGACAATATTTGTAAGTCGCTTTCGATAAAAGCATCTGCTAAAAGACAATGTAAATATACATAAGCGTTATTATTATTACATGTAATTATTATTATTATTTAATACGATTCATATTATTACTGTTTTAAAACTTATATAACTGTATAAAAAAACTGAAACTGACAATATTTTTAATAGTGATTAATGCACCATTTCACTTTTCAAACAATTTTTAGACATTTTATGCATACATCTCATACGCAATTTCATACTTGTGATAACTCAATGTTTCCAGTTTATGACGTCATGTGTCTCTGCAACACTTCAGTTTAGATTGATTTCAGTCATCTTATATAAATTATAAATAATAATATTTAATTACTGTTTTATTTTTAAATAATGATAATAATAATTAATATTATTAAATACTATATTAACATTATGAATATTATTACAAATGATTATTATACTGGTTACTACTACTACTACTAAGAATAACAATTATTAGTAGTAGAAGTAATAATTATTAAGTTTAATATGATTCATATTATTAATGTTTTCAACTGTATTGGTGACTTTAGTAGTTACATAATAAATAATTATTTATAATATTAATAATAATTGTTATTTATAATACATTTTTAATAATGTTAACAATGATAATAATAATCATTGTAATTATTATTAATATTAAATAGTATACAATAATTAATAATAACAATTATTATAATTATAAATTCATTATTTTGTATTATTATTAATATATAATAAATAATAATAATATTCTTTTTTTCTTTTCAAATAATTTCTATGAATTTATGTGTACATCTCATGCAATTTCATAATAATGAAGGTCAGGTTATTACTACTGCCCTGTAGTTTTCCTTAGTTATTAATACCTGAATGTATTTGAATCTTATATTTGACTTATGTCTGTCATCAATATTAATGTTACTTGCACTCTTCTGTCTTTAGACAGTTCATCATAAGAACGCTGTTGTGATGCTCTTCTTTCACAGGAACCATCTATCAGGCGGATGAGCCCATCTTCTTCCAGTCGATCAGAGAGCCGCTCCTGGCTGACCTCTGACCCTGGCAAGCCTCTCGCAGTGGGACAGTACGTCAACAACTGCTCTAACGGTCAGTCAGTTTGATTACAATTTTTACCATCCACAGTTAGAAAGGAAAACATAAGACTATTAAGTGAAAAAGCTGTGAATGTCTGCTATCAGGAATGTGCCGTGAGTTCCTGCCTAATGTCAACTACAGAGCTACTGATACTCAAAGGCATGATTTCATATGCCATTATTATTATTATTAGGACATTATTACTGACATTTGCTTATTTTGTCTTTCTGTTTCTATTTCAGACCAGAAAATCTATTTCGAAGAGCTCTTCTCCAACTACTACACAATTGTGCATTAAATAGATTTTTATTTTTTTTTTAAGTTTGTTTGTATTATTATGGAAGCCCGTTTCCGCCACTGAATAAAAAATAAAAAAAAAGGTAATTCCGACTTTTTTTCTCAGAATTGTGAGATAAAAACTCGCAATTCTGACTTTTTTCTCGCAATTCTGACTTTTTTTCTCAGAATTGTGAGATATAAACTAGCAATTGCGAGTTAAAGTCCAATTTTGAGGGGGGAAAAGACTGATATGTTCTCAGAATTGCGAGTTTATATCTCCCAATTCTGTGAAAAAAAGTCAGAATTGTGAGATAAAGTCGCAATTACCTTTTTTTATTTTTTATTCAGTGGCGGAAACGGGCTTCCATATATTATATATATATATAAAACTTGAAATAAATTATTTTTTAAAGCGAAGCGGGGTGTGAAAACATGCAAAAAATTGTGTTGGTTTCCAACCTAACAGTTCTTTTATTAGTATTTAATTTGAGCATTTAGTGCAAAAGAAACATAAAAGGGATAGTGCACCCAAAAATGAGAATTCTGTCATTAATTACTCACCCTCGTGTCGTTCCAAACCTGCAAGACCTTCGTTCATCTTCGGAACACAAATGAAGATATTTTTGATGAAATCCGAGAGCGTTCAGAAAACTAGATTTTTCTCTAAATGAACTTTGCTGACTTCAAACAGCTCAATCATTTTTCGTCCAATCCCAACCAATCATACATACTTCTGAAGGCCTTTTAATGGAGAATGTGAAAGAACTCATTTTTGAAAGTTTGCCCATTGTGACTCATTTTGCCAGCACAGGTCACAGTTGTTTTGTATGTTATTTAACACTTCGTAGATTTAAAGGAATGGTTTACCCAAAAATGTGTTTGTTGGAAATGTCCTCACTCTCAGTCATCTGGTCTGAATCAGGAGAGAAATCTGCTCAGATCAAGCACCGTTTACAAGCCAAAACAGCGCTAAACAAATATGTGTGTGAATTTTGATGTGAGAGACAACAGGAGATGGATTTTTCCACTGGAGGAAGCGTTATAATGGATATTTTAGCCAGAAGTAACGTTAAACGTCTTAATGATGGATTTGTTTCTTACAAACACAGCTTTTGGCTTCATAAGACATTAACTGATGGACTGGAGTGGTGTGGATCACTTGTGGATTATTGTGATGTTTTTAATCAGCTGTTTGGACTCTCATTCTGACGGCACCCATTCACTGCAGAGCATCCATTGCTGAGACACTGATGCAATGCTGCATTTCTATTCCTTTATTATTTTCACCTGTAGTGTCTCAGCTCAAAGTGAAATATTTAGTAAGTTCTGATGTCTTTTTATAAAAGAAAACCTGCTTTGAAAACTAAAGTTTCCCTGAGATGTTTACTTATCTGTTCCTCTTTCCATAAAATTAGCATTTGATATCAGGCGTTTGTGAAAACATAGGAGGAAGCTAAATCAAATTCCTTTGTTTCCTTTTTTAGATAATTAAGCTGTGGCCTATACTGTAGAAATTCTCATTTCAATGACGGCAATCTTGTGATGCATTATTACTGCAAATAATGATCCAGAGGCATCAAATTTGAGCAAGTATTTGGATAAACTCATAAACACTGTTATAATATCTCCAGAACTTTATTTCTGGAATGGTTTGCCAGTTAAGTACAACATAAAATACAAAATAAAACCAACGAAACAAGAACAGTGTCTATGTACAAATATTAAGAATGATAAAATTTCCTTTTCCAATATGAATCGCCGCTTGATTGTCTATTTAACACTATAATTTAATTACATGAAAATGTCAAGAAACTGAACTTTACCCAGCAACTCCCCCCACCCCCCCCCCC